AATACTCCATCTAAAAATAAGTCCTAACAAGAGGTATTAGGAAGCTCTTTTCCTCTTGAGTTTCCATTTACTATGAATCATTAGTCAAGGGTAGTTTTACTGTCATAACTGTTAAATCTTCAAGAAAGGTAAAGTTATGACTCTCAGATATAAAACAAACATGAGTTATGTTTAACTCATTTTAACTCATGAAGGACTGAGGGAACTGGGAAAAAAAAAAAACCTTACAACTGGTTAATAGGTAAATCCAAAGATTAGATAAATACATAAGCCCATCAAGAAGGCAAAATAAATTTGCTTCATAGATGCAAAAAACCCTGACCTCTTCCAGAGTGAGGAAAGAAGTCAATTGAACTTCCATCAGATAGAATTTATTTGCATGCCTATAAATACTAATTATTTCCAGTACTATCAGTTTCAACAAATTCATCTCTATAGAGTTGTAAAATAGCTCAAAGGCACAAACCCCGTAGAATCAGGTAATCTGGAAGGATGTGCCCTGAACAATGTGTAGCTTTCCGTTAAAGGCACTTAGGAGTTATTTTTTGATCCATTTAAAAATAATCTTTTGGGGCCCCTGGGTGGCTCAGTCAGTTGAGCATCTAGCTTGATTTCAGCTCAGGTCTCACAGTTCTGTTCATGAGTTCAAGGCCTACATAGGGCTCTACACTGATAGCATGGAGCCTGCTTAGGATTTTCTCTCGCGCTCTCTCTCTCGCTCTCTCTCACTCTCTCTCTCTCTCAAAAATAAATAAACTTTGGGGCACCTGGGTGGGTCAGTCGGTTAAGTGTCCGGCTTTGGCTCAGGTCATGATCTTGCGGTTCGTGAGTTCGAGCCCTGCATTGGGTTTTGTGCTGACAGCTCAGAGCCTAGAGCCTGCTTTGGGTTCAGTGTCTCCCTCTCTCTCTGTTCCTCCCCTGCTCACATACTGTCTCTCTCAAAAATAAATAAAGATTAAAAAAAATTTTTTTAATAAACTTTAAGAAATAAATAAAACTCTTTTTTTAAACTTAACGTGTACACTTTTTTTAAAAAATATTTTTATTTATTTCTAGGAGAGAGAGAGACAGCGTGAGCAGGGGAGGGGGAGAGAGAGAGGGAGTTACAGACTGAAACAGGCTCCAGGCTTTGAGCTGGCAGTCAGCACAGAGCCCGACGCGGGGCCCGAACCCACGAACCGCGAGATCATGACCTAAGCGAAAGTCGGACGCTTAACCGACTAAGCCACCCAGGCGCCCCAATAAAACTCTTTCAAAATCTGTGTTTACGCAACTAATGTTAAAGATAAATGTTAACTAAGGGTGTTGATTATTTGATACCCACATTTTATACCATAGATGATATTATGTAGAAAGTACCTGACTGATTTGGCCCAAAATACAAAAAGAAGAGCTATTAAAATCATAACACAGTTTAACTCTACCTGACAATTAGAAATGTGTGTTTTTTAAAGTTGCTTATTATTAGCTGACCCTCCAAAAAAAAAATTTCTGTCTTATAGAAATGCACTGATGAAAATTATAGATGCGTTCATTTTATGATTTTATTTAAGTAATCCTGCAGTTAGAATCTTTAAACATGTTTGGAACAGTGATACCAAAGAACATAGAACAGATATCCGATTAGTTTAAATTGATTAATAACTTAATTATCTAAGAAAATCAACTTAATGGTATACACCTGAAATTTGAAATTATTTTGGCATAACTGGGTTTTCCCCTTAAGTTTGTCATAGTGTCACTGAAAACTTTCGATTGCACGTGCAAGAATAAAGAATGTTTGAAGTGCCGTTTACTTCGGAATGGAGCATTATAATCATCAGTAATAGCTATAGAGCATGCACAGTGCTGGTGCCTTTAATGAATTTTTTTTCCACTTAAAAGCAGATTCCTCAAAATGGTATTTTTTCAGACTGTGTTTTCTTCATTGAGCAAGTATTTTCCTTGTGGCTAATTTGAAGCATGTAAAAAACTGAAGCCAGCCTGGTTCTTATATGCCTCGCCTGGCCTTGTTAATAGTTCCAGCATTCCATTTGTTAGTACCTGTGACACAGGAGAAACTTTTACTGTTATGCTATGTGGTGATGATAAAGAAGACAGAAAAAGTCTTTTTATGGTAGTTGGGTCCTCAAAACAGCTCTTCGTGTTCTGGTGATAAGATGACACAAGTTGGATATCCAGTAGAGGTACATGAGCTTGTTATCTACAGAACCGATAGAGCCTCTTTAAATTCCCTCACAGTGACAGGAACCCCATCTGACGTGAAGGCTTGCAGAGCTGGAGATACTAGACCTCTGTTCTTCCTCATGAGTGCAAGTAGGGTTCACCTTGTTGCAGAATAAAAATTATGTGTGATTATTTTAAAAGGCCATATTCTTTTTCTTCAGTAATTTAAACGGACTTCAAAGAGGCACGTACTTCGTGGTTCCTGATAGTGGAAGAGCAAGACTTTATGAATTACCTACTCTTAAGATACATGAATAACATGGGAAAATATCTAGAGATTTCAGGCTAGAATAAGTCTCCAAGTTCATGATGAAATCTCTGTGTAGGCATCAACTATATTTGTTTTGTTTCTAGGGCTGTGTAGGTTATAAGAGTTCATTGTGGTTCCAACATTCTGAGTGTTACCATCTTCATTGCTGATAGCAGCTTGCATGGCTTTGGCAAGCAGAACTTGCTACCATGAACAGGGGAGAAGACATATCTCCATCTTTTAATTCTAAACAGTAGGACCTTTTATGGTTAAGTATACATAACAGTTTGTGTGGTTAGTTACACCCAGAGAATTTAGAGCCATGGCGCCAATGTTGGAGAAATAGGTGTAGTGTTTGCTCTGTACTCATGGTTAGTGATTATGTTGTGGTGGAGGTTTCAGGTATTGTGTGTGGATTCCTGGTGCACTCCACGTTACTTGAGAAGTTAACATCTCTGCACTCAGGATTTCTTAGGATTCTTTAAGCAAAGTCACATTGACTAAAGAGATGATGATGATAATAATAATAAATGGGTCAAATAATAATTAACTACAGAGAAAGTAAGAAAAAATTCTCAAAGCTTAAACTATTGTGTATTTATATTCTTTCAAGGAAAAAATTTATAAAATACACATAATTATTGTAAATCATGTTTTAAAGGATACCAAGATTTAGGGGCACCTGGGTAGCTTACTTGGTTGGGCATCCGACTCTTGGTTTCAGCTCAGGTCATGATCTCACTGTTCGTGAGTTCAAGCCCTGCATCAGGCTTGCTACTATCAGCGCAAAGCCTGCTTTGGACCCTCTGTCCCCCTTGCTCTCTGCCTCTCCGACTCATACTCTGTCTCTCAAAAAAAATAAAACATTAAAAATACAAAGATTTATTATTATGACTTAGTTAAAAATGTATCTTAAATCTAATTTAAATAATCATTTATTAACAAACTTAAGTAGTACTAGTATGTTGATCAAACTTTGTTTCCCAATCAAATAAACTGTTAGTTTACTTAGAAAATTTTAACTTCCTAAAACTTCTCAGTGTTGGCTGGAAAATAAACAAGTCTCAGCTATTTAAGCTATTGAACTCAGTAATTCTACTTTAAATAAGATCCATCATGATTTTTAAAAATTTAGAAATTCTGGAAATTAATATATCAGATTGTTAAGCCCTTGCTTTTAAAGTTACTCATTTAAATACCGGACAAGTCATTTCTTGGTGACTTTAATGAAAAAAAAATTAAAAAAAAAACACAACTGTTCATTATATTTTGGCCTCCAAGTAAGCAGAAAAATAAGTCAGCATATAGTCTAGGAGATACTTTGATGACACTTAAAGTTCCCCAGAAAGTCAGTTCAGTGGATTAGATCAGCCCATGAAGGAGCTCTATAGAAAGAGCTAGCAAAAGGGGGAAAGATACATGCTGAATAACGTGTTTTTTTGTTTCGTTTTTTACCAATTAAAAAAAAAATATGGAAAGTCATATTTATGTGTATGTAATACGTACATTCTACAAAGGAAGGAGTCATGACTGTCATATGTAAATACGTATTTGAGTTTTTATTCTTCAAGATTATGTAAGAAAATCATAGTATTAAGAACAAGTTAGGGGGCGCCTGGGTGGCTCAGTCAGTTAAGCGTCCGGCTTCTGCTTAGGTCATGATCTCACGGTTCGTGGGTTCGAGCCCTACATCGAGCTCTGTGCCAGCTTAGAGCCTGGAGCCTGTTTCAGATTGTGTATCTCCCTCTCTTTCTGACCCTCCCCTGCTCACGGGGTCTCTCTCTCAGAAATAAAACATTTTTTAAAAATTTAAGAAAAAAAGAACAAGTTAGGAATGGAATTACTGGGATATGGTGCTAATTCTGGTGAATAGGAAAAACTCAGATGGAAAGCAGTTTCAGTTGAAGTTGCTGAAATGTTCATTTTATGAAGGTACTATGATAACTTCTCAGACCATCATTTTGATACATTTCTATTTCAGTTCTCACACTCATTGACTCTATCAGATATGTTGATCAGGCTGTAATCAGATTCAGGTTGTAACTTCAGAGCCGTGAGTAATTTAGTATTCTCTAGGAAGTTTGGGAAGAAAGAATCCAAACCAGTAAATATTCTTTTTTTTCTTAATGTACAGAGGGAGCATTTGTTTTGCTTATATCTAAGGTTTACCTTATTTGAAGGATTAGAGTATACATTTGTGATCATTTAAAACCATTTCAGTGGCTCTTGTAATAATTCATTCAGTCTGTGCTCTCTTAATAAATTTTACAAAAAAACTCATGGCAAGTTAGTGTCATTTGTGTGTGAATTTTCCAATTGTATTTCAGACTTTAAGAAAGAAAGGCCTTAATGGTTGTGAGAGCCCTGATGCTGACGATTACTTTGAGCACAGTCCACTCTCGGAGGACAGATTCAGCAAACTAAATGAAGATAGTGATTTTATTTTCAAACGAGGCCCTGTAAGTACTTTTACTTTACCTCTACTTTTTATTTGTTGATCCTTTTTGTTAACTTCATTATATAGGCTCTGAACAAGAAGGAACACAGAGGGTGCGACAGCCCAGACCCTGATACTTCCTATGTGCTAACTCCACATACAGAAGAAAAATATAAAAAAATTAATGAGGAATTTGATAATATGATGCGGAATCATAAAATCGCAGTGAGTACGAAAGTATGGTTTGTGATTTTATCTTGTGCATGAAGAGATTGGCCACAGTTCTTGTTTATTTTCACAGTGGGTAATGACACCAATAAGTGGAAAAGGAAGAAATTTTATTAAAATTTTTTGGTTTTACAGAACTTCAAAATAAATTGGGTACAGTCCTATAATAGTGCATGTTCAGGGTCTTTAAACATAGAAGTGAAGAAAAAGCATCCTAATCCAAATTCTGCTTCCTGTCCCCTGAACTATCCATCCTCCGGTCTCTCTTTGGATAGAGTACCTAAACATCCTGGATTCCAGTTTGATCTGTAAAGTGAATGAGTTGGTTTATGTAATTTTTAAGGTCCTGTCTAGCTCTAAATTTCCATGATTTGTATACAGGGTGCATATAAGATTTTCCTCTCCCGCTCATGACTTTTGAAAAATATTACATGTATTTTAAATAGATCTTGAGACTATAAAATTTAAAACGGTTAGATTTATTACAAATTTGATGTTTCAGAATTATTTTGAATTATTTTGTATAGTTGCTGTACTAGTAGTGGCTTACTCTTTGGCTCTTTGTAAATGTCCCAGAACTATTTAACAAAATATCTCCAAAATCCTAGTCTTTCCTTATATTGTACATATGGAGGAAGAGAGCCTTGGCTCAATTTTAACTTAAGGAAGCAATGTTCTTAAACTGGTTTAACATTTTTCTGTGCTCACACATCTAACCATTGTGGCAACCAGTACTTTTTGGAGTTCATGCTCCTTGATAGTTCTTCAGAGAATTCTCATGGGAAGCTCATTGGCAAGAGCTGCTTAAGACAGCTATTCTGGATCTGATTTTCTAATGTTATATCTGTATTGTATGCTTCATGGAACAAATTGGTTCCAATGCTGATATTTGTCTCAGGGTTAATTATTATCAGAATTAATTCTCTTAAAAACTATGCCTTAAAGTATGTATCATGGATTATTTCTTCAAAGCAATCCTCTACTATAAGAAGCTCACGAAAAATAATTTTAAGGAAGTATTTTCGTGCTGATACCATTATTATTCTTAAAAAAACAAAACAATAGCAAACAAAATAAAATCCCTTCTGACCTCACATGGATATTGGTGACTTTGTAGTTAACGTTAAGCTGCAAAAATATTATGTAAATAAAATTGCTTTATCTTTGAAAAACTTTTATCATATAGCCATTGTTTTATATCAGTTAATGAAATATTATAATTTCTATTGGAAATAAACTACCATTGAATAGAGTACATGAACTATTTATTTTCTCCAACTTTGAATTAGCAGTGTTAACCACCCTTTGCAATTACTATTTTAAAGTATGGGGAGAGGAAAGCTTTTATTCCTTTCTCTATAATAGAGATATTATAAAGAGAAATGTTATTTTCACGGTTAACAAGTACATTGTATGTGATCTATGGAGGAAATGCAAGAAGAAATAGGAAATATTATTTTAAGGGGGTGTGGAATGTGTAGAAGGGAAAGAAGATAGCATTTATAATATTTGTAATTTAATCTTCATACAATTTAAAGATAGGTTGTCAGTTAATTTTATTGTTTAGATTGTTTCTTTGCATTTTTGTTACACTCAGATTGCATTGTGTTGTGTATATATAACTTGATTTTTCTTTTTTTTTAGTTTTGTCCATTAAGACTGTCAGTCAATTAAATACAACCAGGGCTTATTTATAATGTACTGCATTTGGTGTATTAAGTTTATAATATGTGTACATAGTTTTCCCCTTTTATTCTATTTGTAATTGCCTGATAGAAATGTAATGTTCCTAAACTGGTTTGCATTATTAAAGTGCTAATTTTATGTTTACCTGGTAACTGATCTTTTTTGTAATGTCTAAATTTGACAGCACTACTTTAATATCAAGTACTGACATTTAATTTTCATCTGTGAATATTTGAAATTATATATGTATTATATTAGCATATATGTATTCATATATAAAAATTGAAGTTGAAAAGGTTCATGTCAAACATATGTTCAAATACAATTCTAAAGAAAGCAGCTTAAATCTGCAAATTTAGTAGGAAACTATCCCCATCCTCTACTTTTAATAACTAGAGTTACTTTATCAAATTAAAGTTCATAAGTTATTACATTTAATAGAGATGAAAATGAAACTAACAAGTTTTTTTTCTTCCTTGTTCTTTATTTATAGCCTGGTTTGCCACCTCAGAACTTCTCAATGTCTGTCACAGTCCCTGTGACCAGCCCTAATGCTTTATCCTACACTAACCCAGGAAGTTCACTTGTATCCCCGTCTTTGGCAGCCAGCTCAACATTAGCAGATTCAAGCATGCTGTCTCCACCTCAAGCCACGTTACACAGAAATGTTTCCCCCGGAGTCCCTCAGAGACCACCAAGTACTGGCAGTGCAGGTATGTAGTGATACCTATTCTGCTGGTTCCTTCACAAAAAGGGTGGTATAATGAATTACTGACATAAGCAGTTTCTTACTTTGCTACTCCTTTTTTTTTTTTTAATGTTTTATTTATTTCTGAGAGAGAGAGAGAGAGAGAAAGCATGAGCAGGGGAGGGTCAGAGAGAGAGGGAGACACAGAATCTGAAGCAGGCTCCAGGCTCTGAGCTGTCAACACAGAGCCTGAGGCAGGGCTTGAACTCACGAACCGCGAGATCATGACCTGAGCCGAAGTCATACACTTAACCGACTGAGCCACCCAGGTGCCCCGTTACTCTTAATTTTCTTTGATGAGCGAGTCACTGCTACATAATTGACTCCATTTTATTATTTTATTTTAATTTAATTTAATTTTATTTTTTAATGTTTTTATTTATTTCTTAGAGACAGAGACAGCGTGAGTAAGGGAGGGTCAGAGAGAGGGAGACACAGAATCTGAAGCCGACTCCAGGCTCTGAGCTAGCTGTCACTACAGAGCCTGATGCAGGGCTCAAACCCACAAACCGTAAGATCATGACCTGAGCTGAAGTTGGGTGCTTTACTGATTGAGCCACCCAGGCTTCCCTAACTGGCTCCATTTTAAAGAATATTTTTGAAAATTTACTATGGGCACTCTAACATCTCTCAGGCACAGTGGAATGATAATACAGAAATTGCCATCTAGAATTTTCCTTATCATAGGAAAGCCATACTTTGACAGGCAGAAAATTTAATTAGTATATCATGAGCAAAGATTTTAAGTTTAGGTGTAAGCCATTCATGTTAAAAATATAGAGAATAGATATACCTGATTGGAGTTAGAGTTCATTAATTCAGCAGAAATTTTCAGTGTATTTACTTCTTCACACTTGTAATGCAGTGTCTCCTCTCCTTCAAATCCTAGATTTACTAGTACTTCATTAGCACTGCCCCCGTTCTCATCATTATTTGCTATTTGCCGTTGATACAGGAAGGCATACACATCAGGAGCTTGATAGGTGAGCTTTTCTACACACACACACACACACACACACACACACACACACACACACCTACATCATATTACATAGTAATGCCAAATTCAGACTAAGCTGGTTTTTTTGTTTTTTTACGAAAGGAGCGCAGGTCACTTAATTCAGATAAGGAGAACTAACTCACATTTATGCTTTGCCCTCTCTCTCCTCTTTGTAATGTTTTTAGGTGGGATGTTGAGCACTTCAGACCTCACAGTGCCAAATGGAGCCGGAAGCAGCCCAGTAGGTGCGTGAATTACTCCTGTTTCACTTTGTAGGCATCTATCCTATCTGAGATAAAAAGAATATTGTACCTCAAATAAGGCCTTCTATCAAATGAAGAGCTAAAAATGGGTATATGATCAGAGTAGACATGTCCCTTTGTAGACCTAATTTTCTTCTTAGGGGCACTTTTACTAGTACTTAACATTTTTTCATAACAACCCTGCTTTATTCTTTATACCTTGGCCTCAAGTGCCTTCTTCATAGAGATATTTTACTTTGCTTAAGACAAAATTGTCTTAATACAGTTTTTTCATCAGGCCAGTTTCTTACAAGGAGAAGCTTTCTGTATCATCTGTTCTTACCAAAGTTAGACTATTAGCAGACCGATATATCTTACAGTAGCACAAAATGTTTTTAGAGTGATTGCAATACCCAGAAATTGTGGGCCTACTTCTGGAGCAACAAAGAGAGTTGAGGAGTTTGTCTTTGAGGGATCTGTTTTGCTGGCCACATGTAGAACATTCACATATTATCACAGTTGTGGCCAAATTGTTGGGGTTTTTGGTGGTGGTGTTTGTTTGTTTGTTTGCTTTGGGATCCTTTCCAAAGATGAGCAGCAAATTTAAACACATTGTAAATGTGTCCACCCAACCTTCAAGTGCTGGTATAGATAGATTGTGAACTGAGCATTACAGAAATATGGCATAGATGTCAAACAGAAGAATTAACTGTATCCCTTTGGATTATCATCATATTAAGTGGTCTTGGTCTCTTAATCTGGGATAATGACAGTTGTCATCATTGTTATCTAAAAAGAAGGGTGGGAATTTCCTCCCTGCTTTTAGATATTGTGTGTTCCTGGAGACTTCTGAACACAGATCTCTTTCAGGAAAAATTCCCAATTGCATGTATTCAACCCATTCATTCTACAGAAATGTAAGGAGCTTCTGCCTCAAGGAAATTGTGGAGATTATTGAATAACTTAATTTAAAATGATGAGAAAAAACAGATATTGTTGAGACAAGTTACAAAACATATAGTGACCTAAAGTAGAAATAAGCGCCTGATTATGTCTGCCTCTATAGTAATAGCTGTTTGAATGGAATTAAATATATAAGGCCCACTGTCAGATCTTTTTGAACAGATAATTCATTGTGTAAAAATTCATAAAGGTCTTAACAATTATACATTAAGACTGCTGTACTTGGTATATGTATTTCCAGATGTCCATAGGTTATTTCAGTTCCATTTTAGTTATTTGCATGCCCACATACTCTTCGTGTTAAATTTTCCCATGTGCTTTTATTCCCTCAGGACTTCTTTTCCCTTCCACTTCCTAGCTTGGTTAAGGCTGGGAATCAAATATTCCTATTTCATTTAATGTAAATTTTAAGTAGATCTTGGTTTTATTTCCAAAATTAGTTTTATTTCATGGAGTTTACTCTTTGATGATTTCTAATGTGTTTTCCCGTTGCCTTTATATTTTTTTCATCCTCTGGCATTGAAAACACAGGTCTTCCTCTGGTCAAACAAGTGTTTCACTTCTCTACTCACTTTTTTCTTGTACTTTCCACATTTCCTAAAAGCTTTTTTGCTGTTTTTTCTTCTCTGCCATGCACCTATAAATCTAGACTTTGTCTCTGCTGCTCAGTTTTCTGTGTTCCCTTTGGTAATTTGAAACTCAGACTTTGTCATTGTCCTAATTTGACCATCTGCATGTAATCATGTTTCTTTTTTTTTTCATTCATTCTCCTTTCTTTTGGTAAACCTCCCCGACCACCCCCCCACCCCCCAATCTGGACCCTCCTGTTTAGAAGGCTGCATGATTGCACTCCTCGGATCATGGCACGTCACCACTGGTTTATACGGAGCCTCTCAGTGTTGTTCATTAATCCCTTTTACACCTCTGTTCATTACTGTTCCCTTCTTCCCCCATCATAGGCAACCACCTTAATGTGTTAGTGTTAATAGTGCTAATAATTGTGAGTAGTGAACATAAATTTGTATTAAAATTTAAAATTCAATTATTAAAATATTTTAAGTGCTCAGGGAGTTATTTAAAAGCCTGTTTCCATTATTGTACACAGATAACTCCTGCTTATTAGAGCATACCTCAGCATCTCCTAACTTACAGGATCGGATGTCTTGATTCTTCATTAGTTCCTATTCCCTATATGTACTTAGTTTTATATATATCAGGTGTAATTTTACTTACTCTACTTGTGTTTGGATTCTATTCTAAATGGCTTGTGTGTTATAACTGGTTTTTAACATATGCTAGCTCAGAATTAGGCTTAACTGAGTAGACCTTTTATGTCACTTAATTTGGAGACCAGCTGGAAGCAGTTACTTCTGTGCAGTACTTGGAGCATACGTGAGCTTAATGGGCTTCTTGCTGTAAATTTTCTAATTAAAATAAATGGTCTGTCATAGGTATTTTAGACATGTTATTTTGTGAGGGAGAGTCAGATAATATATCCTAACTTGTTTTCAACAATGGTCCCCTTTTGGTTTAGTAGTTTGGAAGATAAGTTTAAACTCATTTTTCCCTAAATAAAGCCTTTATGAATGAAAAGATTAAAGAGTTAAAATTCCCAGAGAAATTCAGAAGAAAAAGTATTAAAAGGTATGGGTATGGTTTTTTTTTTAAATTTTTTTTTTAAAGTTTTATTTATTTTGAGAGAGCGAGAACATGACTAGGGGAGGGGCAGAGAGAGGGAGAGAGAGAATCTCCAGCAGGCTCTGCTGTCAAGTCTCCCTGTGTACACAGGGCTCGAACTCATGAACCATGAGATGATCTGAGGTGAAATCAAGAGTCAGATACTTAACCAACTGAGCCACCCAGGAGCCCCATGTTTTCTAGTCTGTATTTTTCCAGGTATGTTTCTTGGAACTATATGAGAAAAAGGATTTATTTATATGTTTGACAAACCTTGTGCTAAATGAAACTAAACAGCTTTCTTCACTGTAGGACATACAGAACCTTTAAAATGCTAACCTGTTTTGTGAATCATTAAACTTAGTGTATAAATATGGTTACTCAAAGTGATTTTGTAATTGAACTTTTCATTTATTTTTCCTTACGAAAAAGCGTTTTTCATAATTAGTGCCACATAAACATTTTGGGAAATATTGCTTCTGATCTTAATATGATACATAGAAAAAGCACTTTTGAGCAATGAAAACTTACATAAGTTGAAATTAAAGTTGAGGTTTATTAAAGACCAGCAAGACCACCATCAGGCTTGTGCTGTGTCAATAGCAGAGCTGTTCACTGGGACCAACCCTTGCACTGAAGACAGTTAGAAATGCTAGGCAAAATATTTTTAAAATCTGCATGAAGCATTTGAGAACTAACAAGATAATGAAGAATTACTGGCTCAAAGTCCAGGAAATGACAGAGACAGAGACCTCAGGAGGATGAGCCCAACATTTATGATGACTTTTCCTCAGGTGGTATTTGTCACTTTCACAGTGGGGTGCTTCAGAAGCGGAGGATGACAGCCTCAGAAACCCAGGAGGACGGAGAGATCAAAGTTCAGGGTCTACAAAGATGTGGGAGGTTTCTGTGTGCTCTTGTCACTCTGTATTGAGACCCCAAAGGGCGGGACCATGGAAGTAGAGTAAGTCAGAGGCTAACAATTCCTTGCAGTAGCTACGGCATCCCACTGTCTGAAGCTGGAGTGTGGTCATCTATGCTTATAGTACAGAATAAGCATTCTTTTCAATATTTCTGTTCTTTTGCATTAAAAAAATTTTTTTGTATATGAAAAATGACCCCATGCTAGGCCGCAAAAACAATCAGCAAATTCAGAGAATTTAATCATATGGAGATAAACTCTCTGATGACAAAATAATTCAGCTAACAACCAATATCCAAAGATTGTTGTTTAAAATGAATATTCTATATGTAATTCTGTATAATAGCTTACTGTGGCAGTCCAGGCTTAGAGACTTGCAATGAACTACTTCCAGATAGCTTCACTTCACCTTTAAATTGTAACATTTTTACTGATACTGTCATTTTCAAATGCATAATATTTTTATAGATGAACCTTCCATTTGTCTTATTCTTATTTTAATTTTTGTTGAGTCTGATGCTCTCCAAAAAGTCGGATGCTTCAGGCTTGTGTCAGATTGAAAACAGAAGCATCCTTGAACTTCTTAATTTAAGCATTGAACAAACTCAGGATAGGGAAGGATGTCAGCCAGGAAACCAGAAGAAGCCTAACCATGAAAGGAATCTTCGTTCATCAAAAACACCATGAAGAGAATGAAAAGGCAAGACAGAGTGGGAAAATACAGGATGTGTGTGTGTGTATAAAGTAAACAGAAGGCTTTTTAAGAATACAAGTCATCATGAAAAAGAAAACAGATTTTTAAAAATGTGCATGAGAACACAAACATTTCACAAGAGAAGCTATCCAGGTATCTAGTAAACATGTGACAAGATGCTCATTCTTACAGAGAACAAACTGAGGGTGGCTGGCAGGGTGTTGGGTGGGGGGAAGGGCTAACGGGGTGAGGGGCATTAAGGAGGACACTTGGGATGAGCACTGGGTATTATATTTAAGTGATGAATCACTCAGTTCTGTTCCTGAAATTACTATTGCACTGTATGTTAATTCACTTGGATTTAGATTTTAAAAAATAAATTAAAAACAAAAGAGCTGTTAATTCTCAGTAACCAAGGAAATGCAAAGTTAAAACCACAGATAGCGTTATACACCTAACAGAATGGCCTTAGCAGAATAGGCAGATAATACCAAGTGTTGACAAGCTCTGGAAAAATTCAAACTTCCGTATGCTGATGATGGCAGTACAGATTGGTGCAGCCATTTTGACATTATGTACTAAAGGTATAGACGTGTGTATTGTACAACCCACCATTTTTACTCATCCTTATATACTGTAGAGAAATGCATGTTTATACCATCAGCACCACGAGATAGGTAAAGGAATGTGCATGGCATTATTTGTTATAGCCAACACTAGAAATGGTCCAAATTTCTATCAATAGAA